TACAATATGGAAGTTTTGACTCATTTACGATTTATGATTATAGCAAATTGTATTGCAACATGCAATGACCAATGAGAATAATTATTAGTGCTTACAACACATTAGAAAGTGTTTTGGGCATTACAGAGATGTAGTAGAATGACTAATGTGTTGTATAATTTTATAAAAATAAGTTTTAAAAACTCATTCGTACCTAAAATAGTATGTGTAAATGCAAGTTATATCAGCACTATACGGTGGTAGAAATTATTTTTAAAAAAGTTATAATTATAAAAAAGTTTTAAAAGTTTTAAAAACTCATTCGTACCTAAATTATTTTTTTAACAAATTTTAAAAAAATAAAATAAAATAAAATAAAACTAAATTTAGATAAATTAAAAATATTTGAACTTAAATATACTATTAATCTCATCATAGAAATGCTAATGTATTTGTGAAGAAATGATAGACTTCTTCAAACTTACGGTTCTTATCCAAGTTAGTCTTTAGGCTGCTTGAAATGTTTATGCTATTAGACTTGTTGACCGCTGGGTTGGTCAATTTTTACTAAGAGTTATTTAATTCTTGTTATTCTAGTAAGTCCCGAAGAATATTAGTTTCATCATGCTAAATGAATTAAATTGGGTTATAAAAATAATATATATATTTTTTTTTATCTAACTGCAATTATAGGCAAAAAAATAAAATAAAATAGTATTCAAACTTTTAAATTATGTTTGAGAATTGTGTTTAAGGGGGAGAGGGGAGGAGAGTGGAAAGAAAGGAAGAACTTAATCATTGTTTGGGAATTACTTAATTCGTAGGAGAAGGGTTTGAAGTGTATTCTAAATCCTCCAAAACTTTTTAAATTCTAGTTTTTTTAGTTCCTCCGATTTGAGAGTTTTCTCCCTCCTACTCGGTTGTACTCTTTCACTATTAGAATTCTTTTTTATTTAAATGTTAGTTTTTTAAGTAAGAATTTTTTTTAAAAATTTATAAAAAATAAAAATATTTAAAATTATTAATTTTTAGAAAAAAATATTTATTTTTATTTTTTGTAAAAATAAAATTTATAAATGAAAAATAAAAAATATAATAATATTATTTATATATTTAAATTCACCATCACCCTCCCCTCTCAATATTAAACATCTAAATAAGGAAGAGGTTTAACATCCTTCCTCTCTCTTCTCCTTCCCTCTTCCCCCTTCCCCTTTCAAACCCTTTCCTTCTCCCCTCCAAACTCCTAAAAGCCTTAAAGAACAATTAGGGATTTGACTTCTCATTATTTTCAAGAGCTGTATATATATAATTTGGTTGGAATAATGTTGGGTCCAATTGCCTTGTATTATTTTAAAATTAGATTAAGAAAATTTTTATGATACATTAAGTTGGAGTTTTATAAATGAATGTTAATAAAGTTAGTTTTGGGAATCCTTGGTATGTTTTGTAACACCTTAAATTTAATTTTAATTAAATAATAATTTCGTAGATTCGAATAACTAAATTTTCATAAGATATTTCGAAATAAGAGAGGGTTACAAATTAATATTAAATAACTACTACAGGCACTACATCAGAATGGAGGTCTGAGAACGGTTCCGTTTTAAATTAGAGAGCGTTTAAAATTGCTCTAAAATCTTACGCTATCCGATGTATTATATTTAAAAGAGCTGTTAAATAATCGCTCTTAAAAGTTAAGATTGAGCAGTTCTATGCGGAACCGCTCTCCAAAGTATAGGTGTAAGATTAGAGAGCGGTTCTACATGGAACCGCTCTCTAAAGTATAAATGTAGACCGCGAATCTGAAATTTGAAATTGGTTTCTTTTTGAGTTTTCTGCTGCAAAGTAAAATTAATTTATTATTACCTTTAAATCAAAATTTAGAATTGATTTCTTTGTGAGTTTTCTTCATTTTTATCACAAATCAAAATTAAATCTTGAGTTTATAGGTTTGATGTTAACCAATCAGTCCACATCTGCATGAACCAAATAGAAAAAAAAAAAAACAAATTAGTAGGATGATTTTTAACGTTAATAGAAAGAAAAAAGAAAGAAAGAGAAAATGGATGATTCACCGTTAATAAAGAGAAGAAGAAAGAAAGAGAGAATGAAAAAGTACCTACAGATGTGAAAAAAAAACCAATTTTTTAGCGCAGAAAATATGAAGAGAACAGGCTAACAAAGAATGAAGAGGTACCTACAGATATTAAAAAAAACTAATTGTTAGCGTAGAGAAGATAAAGAGAGCAGACTAACAGAGAATAAAAAAAGTACCTATAGATCTAGAAAAAAAAAACTAATTTGTAGTGAGAGAAAATGAAGAGAGCAGGTTAACAGAAAAATATGAAGAGAACATAAGAGAGTAGAGAAGATGAACAAAACACAGTAAAAGAGAACAACTTTGTTAGCTAAGAAGAAGAAATGCGTTGAGCGTATTTCATTTATAAACAACTTTAATGACTTTAGAGAGCGGTTAATAGATAAGCGCTCTCTAATGTGTGACTTTACAGAGTGGTTAATGGAGAACTGCTCTCAAAAGTATAGATCTGAGAGCAGTTCTCTGTTAACCATTTGCTTAAGCAAAAATAAAACAAGACAATTCCATTCGCACGCTAACTATATTGAATTTGTATATTTTTTTTTTTTTTTAACAATGGTTGGATTGTCTCATTATTCTCATTATACGTATCAACAAGACACACACCATAACAACATGCATACCCAAGGTCTCTCATCTCTCAAACATACAGTCACGTGCACATACCTATATTTAATGAAAAAAATATAAATGCAATTTTTAAATATTAATATTTAAGTTATTTTAATAATATGCAATAAAATTAAAAATATAACTTTAATAATGAATACCAATAATTACACATAAAGAAGAATATAAAAATTGTATCTTAATTAACGTATGCATGTAATTAATTTATAAAATTATAATATTTTTATATGATTTTTTCTACATATGATGGAGGGACACTAGAATTTATGCACTTTTTTTTTTGGACAAAAACACTTACTGCAACTACTTTTTCTTTTTTATTTCTATTATTCTCTCTCATCAATCTCACATATCCCTTTACTTCATTCTCCACTTTTTCCAAAACCCACCATGGTTTTCTAAATTATAGAGTATTAGAAAAGATGAGATAATGGGATGATAATAGTCTTGGCCATTCTAAAACAATAGCTTATGAAATTAATAATAAAGATTTATCATCGCTCCATTCTATTCAATATACATTAGTATAGGCCATTTTAAAACGATAATTTATTAAAATAATAATAAAAATTTATTATCATCTATTTATGGGCGATACTATTATTAACATGGCAACAAAAATTACTAAACAAGAAATTAATTTTTAAAAAAAATTCTATTTTGGGAAACTATTTTTAAAAAGTATTATTTAAATAAAAAAACCTAATTTAAATCGTCTAATATCATTTAAAATAATTTTGGTAATTCATCTCTACTTAAAATTGAGTTATTCTATATTTATAGTCCCTAATTCTTCATTAATCGGTTTATTTTCAAGTAAATTTTACTAAGTAAATTTTATTTCTAAATTTTAATATATTATCTAATTTTAATTTATTTAAATTTATATGATTAATAATTAATTTAGAAGTGATAAAATTTTGAGATATTATAAACTTGAGACTACTTACCTGTTTACATAAATAAAATTGATCGGTAAGATTTATAATATTAAACATAGTTTTATAAATTAAATTTTTTTTAGTAATACAATCAATAATCTTAATCCTCTCCTTTATAATTAAAAATAAAAAAAATTTAGTTTTATTTGAGTTATAATTTAATTATTAAAATAAAAAAAGTTATAAATCCTTAATTTTATAATCCATATATTTCCTTAGCTACCTATTAATTATTAAAAATGTCAAAGTATTGTTTCAAAGTTAACCCACGAGTACCAGGTGATTAATAAAAAATATTTCCTTAGCTACCATTTCCACTTTCAGCGCTTGACTTTATTTTCGGGGCCTATAAAAATATCTTTTCGTGGATGAAATTAAGTCGACGAAGGAATTGTTCAAATGATAATAAATTATCAACAGCTTTTTCTCTCTTCACAGCATTAGCCGCGTTCAAGCTCATAATTGCATTTTAGTATATGAATTGTTAAAATTGAAAATGTAAGTCACATACATTTTTTAAAGAGTTTTATGACATTTTAAGTGATCATACAATTTCGTAAATCTTTTAATTTTCTATGTGTGATCCAAATTTACTCTTCTCGCACCCTTGTACACAATATTAATTCTTGCACTCTTAATATTTTTATATAAAACAATATTTTTATTAATTTAATCATTTTGTTATAATTATATATATTTTGATTATCTATATTAATATTTTTTAAATTGGACAAGTATAATAATACAATAAAAATTCATTGTTTTTTATATAGTCCAAAAATATATATTATGTTAGTTTTGGTATGTATAAATAAAAGATAAATAATTTTAAATTGATATAAATTTTATAAATATAATGTCTATAATAATCTTTTTTAATTTAATGATTGATTATGAAACAAAGAATATATACAATAAATTATAAGAATAAGTGAAACTTACTCATTTAGTCCCTCTCGTGCATACACAAAATTTACGTATAAAAAATTTATAAAATGTTACATAATATTATTGAATTTAGTATAATAACAATGTTAAATATTATATTTTTTATTATATGTTTATATATATAAATATATAATATACACAAAATTTGAAATTGATTTAAAATTATTTAATATTATATGTATATATTAAAATTAACGTTATATATATATATATATATATATATATATATATATTAAAAATGTATGAAAATAAAGACAATTTAACGATAATCTTATAGATTTTGAATTTTGATAATACAAGAGTGTGTACACTTACGTCCGTTAATTTGACTATATCGCGTGCGTGTGTGTATATATACACCCCTTGTTTTGTTCCTAGGATAACTCAACTTACGCATAGTCATGGAGAAGATTTGCTTCAGTTTTGCCTTAGTGTTGTCTTTCCTCCATTTCATTGCCTCCACGGAGATAAGCAACAGCAATTATACGATAGACCAATCTGCACTGTTGGCCTTCAAATCTTATATCACTTTGGATCCTCAACACATATTGGCCAGCAATTGGTCTACTAAATCCTCTGTGTGCAATTGGTTTGGGGTCACTTGTGATACCAACTATGGAAGGGTCACGAGCCTAACTCTAACAAGCATGAATTTAAGTGGTTCCCTTCCACCCCAATTAGGAAACTTAACTTTTCTCGTTCATCTTGATCTTCGCAACAATGAGTTTCATGGGACTCTACCAAGAGAGTTGGCCTTGTTACCTAGATTGAAGGTGGTCAACTTGTGCACTAACCAATTTGGAGGTCAATTCCCAACCTGGGTGGGGGAGTTATCTAAACTCCACCATTTGAGTCTTTGTAATAACAGCTTTTCGGGTTCAATTCCCAAATCCCTATCTAAGTTGTTGGAGTTGGAGACTTTGGATTTGAGCTTTAATTTCGTAGATGGGAACATTCCACCTGAGCTTGGAAGGCTTCATAATTTGACAGTTTTGGATTTGGCACACAATCAGCTATCCGGTGACATCCCTTCTTCAATCTTCAACATCTCCACGTTGCAAGAGCTTGATTTCTCATATAATTATTTATCAGGTAAATAAATTTTATTATTATTATTGTCGTTAAAACCTTAAAATTAATTGCAATAGTTAGGAAATTAGTTTTGCTATATAAGCCTTATTACTCTTTTGTAACTCACTTTTTACTATTTCGTGTCGTCAAACACACTTTGTTTCTGATTTGGTTGGTTTTTATTTTGTTTTAGATACGTTATTGATGTTTTCTCCTTCTTCTTTTGGGGCCTTCTTTGTTGTTCACTAAAGGAACTATTGACCTCACCCAAACTTTCTACATAAATTATTGTCAATTGCAAGTCTTTCTTCGATATTAGATTGATACTAGATGAAGTCAGTCTGCAAGATAAAATTCATTTTGCTGCTGTGAATATTCACTATGTCTAGGTTGGAATAAATTTTTTCTCAAATACTTGTAAGAAAAAAAATTAAATAAAAATATAGACCAAATTTTTTTTATAAATTAAAATTAACTTATATATATATATATATATATATGGGATAAGATCTATTGAACCCTAAACCCTAAAAGACTTACACCAAATCTCAACTGTTTAAATCAATAATTTAATGATTGGAAAGTTACCTCTTTCTATTCACTTATACTTTATTGTTTTAGTTAAACAACATGTAACTTTTCAACTATTAAATTATTAATTTGTACTGTTGATATTTAGTGTAAATATACTTAGTGTCAATAAATCCTAATTATATATATATATATATATATATATATATATATATATATTACAAAAGTTATTTATATTTAACTTCTTTAAAACTTGACTTCTTTAAAACTTGAAGAAATAAGTTGTTTTTAATTTATGAAAAAAAATTGTTATATTTTTATATTATTTTTCTTCATTTATATATACTTAAGCTTCCACAAATTGTGTCTACGTAAATCTTTCTTATAGATTAATGTGCTCATAACTTTTCTAAAGATTTCCTAAGAATTACATATAAAAGTTAATCTTTTTATATACTATTGTATTTGGTTATAAATTCTCGAAAACGTGATTACAAGAAAAAAATTGTAGGCAAATGAATCTTACATTTTTTTATTCGAATAAGATAGGAAGCATCCCTCAAGAAGTTGGTGACCTACGACAACTAAGAAGTATAAATGTGAGCAAAAATAAACTTTATGGTTCGATACCATCGTCCTTATTCAATGTGCCTACCCTTCAAGAGATTCAATTATTTTATAATAACCTATCTGGTTCTTTGCCATCGGATATGTGTCATGGACTTCCAATGCTTGAAGAGCTTGACCTCTCTGGAAATGCAATTTATAGTCAAATTCCATCAAGTTTGCATCAATGTAAAGAGCTCAAATATCTGAAGATGATCAGCAACAGATTTTATGGTCATCTACCTAATGATATCGGGAGATTATCTATGCTTGAGGAGTTAGATTTTAGTAACAACAATCTAACAGGTACAGTTCGTAATATTTTGTCTATTTATTGGGTGTGCTAGTATCTTGTTTCTTAACTCAATTCACACACCAACTAAATTTTAGCCTTCATTTTTTTTTCTTAAGATAAAACTACTCTAAGTTTGTTCATTAGAGTGCATATAAAAAAATCTTGATTACTAAGTGGTACTTTATTATTAGGTCCTTTTCAAAGTACCCATACACTAATATATCCTAACCGCAAAGTGGGAGCTTACCTTTCTTTAAACTTTTTGTCACAAAAATGATGAAACCAAGATTAAACAGTTTATAATTTTCAATACAAAGATGGACTAGGAAATTGCACTTTATAGTTGTCATTGTACATGAATCATTTGAGTTTGAAATATGTAAACCAAGCACAAGCCTATCTTGCCTGTACTCTGATCCCATATTAAATATCAATTCTTTTAAAAGGTGAAGATGGTCAGCACCCAAAAATAAAATGTTTGAAATGATAGGTGAAAATTTATGAATAGTTATGATGTCTGACACGGTACACATGAAACAAGCAGAGTGGGACAATGCAGTTGCACTATATAAGATATGAATGGGTTGACTCCAAATCGAACCACATCATGCCCACTTAATTTGATGTATTAATTCTAATATCTTTTTGGAACGTGTAAATATTCCTACTGATATAACAGTTTTATGAACAGGTTTTTAGAATATTATTATATTATTTACAAATTTGATTCAAAATATTTATAAATACTATGATGAATTGGGCACGTTTCAGTATTTTTCTTTCTATTGATATATACAAAATTTACTGTCTTTGAATATTTATAACAGGCCCACTTCCACCGTCGCTTTTTAACATATCCTCTTTGAGATTAATAAATCTTCGGAACAACATATTTAGTGGTCAACTTCCAGAAGAAATGTGTCAACGGTCTCACTCCCTACAACAAATTTCTATATTAAATAACAAAGTTGTGGGAATTATTCCAAAGTCTATTAGCAATTGCACTTCGTTGACACGCTTATTTTTGGGAGCAAACTTTCTTACAGGTTTTTATCTCTTCCCTTCCTTCTTTGTTAATTCTAATTATCGGTTTCTTCATTGCATGTTTAAAATTATAGAATAAACTAAAAATAAATTTTTTTATTAAAATTAATAGCATTTAATATTATTAATGCGTTGTATTCTTTTATAATTTCTAATAAAAATCATTATGAATAAATTCTTAAACCACGTGTTAAAAAAATCGTATATTTATAAACATATCAAAATAAAAGTTTACAGCTAGACATTAACTCCAATCATTCAATATATTGTAGGTACCATACCTTTTGAGATGGGTGACTATTTAAGAAAACTTGAGAAATTGCATTTGCAAGGTAATAGATTAAGAGGATCTATTCCTACAAATATTTTCAACATCTCAAGGTTGCAAAGCTTGTCATTGTCAAATAACCAACTCTCAGGAAATCTTCCAATTTATGGGCATCATAGCCTATCCAACCTCAAATTTTTATACGTGTCAGCCAATAATCTTAGTGGAGAAATTCCAAAGAGCCTTTTCAATGCTTCAATGCTTCTTCAACTAGTGCTTGCCAACAATTCATTTTCGGGAGTTATACCTGACTCAGTTGGGAATTTAAGAAACCTCGAGTCCCTTTATTTGATAGGAAATAAGTTGACTAGTGATCCAGCTTCTCCAGAAATGAGTTTTCTCACTTCATTAACAAAGTGTAGACAATTGAAGAAAATTTTATTGTCACTGAATCCTCTTGATGGGACACTTCCAAATTCAATCGGAAACCTATCAAATTCTCTTCAAATTTTCGATGCCTGGAGTTGTAATATTAAGGGTAGAATTCCCTCGCAGATTGGCAATTTGAAGAACTTGTATGACATAAACTTGAATGAGAACCAACTTAGTGGACAGCTTCCTAGTACAATTGGTGCTTTGCTATCGCTTCAACGTTTGGATCTTTCAGACAACAAACTAAATGGCTCAATCCCAAGTCAAATTTGTCAACTAATAAATTTGAATGAGTTGCGTCTTAGCAAAAATCAAATTTTTGGGCTAGTGCCAGGATGCATGGGGAGTCTTGGTTCTTTAAGAAATCTTTACCTGGACTCCAATAACTTGAACTCTACAATACCTCTTTCTCTTTGGAGCCTCACTGATATCTTGGAGGTGAATTTATCCTTTAATAATTTTGGTGGGTCTTTACCAATTGAAATAGATGGGATGAGTGCTGTGATAAAACTTGATATATCTAACAACCATCTTTCAGGAAAGCTTCCTAGTGAAATTGGTGGCATGCAAAAGTTAATGAACCTATCATTAGCTAATAATATGTTACAAGGGCCAATTCCTGATTCAGTTGGGAATATGCTAAGCTTGGAAGTTTTGGACCTTTCCCACAATCTTTTATCAGGCAACATCCCCAAATCAATGGAGAAGCTTCTTTATCTCAAATTTATCAACTTGTCTTATAATAGACTACAAGGTGAAATTCCTTCTGGTGGTAGACTTGTAAATTTCACATCTCAATCATTCATGATGAATGGTGCACTTTGTGGGAGACCTGAACTAAAAGTGCAACCATGTCCTAGTAATGGGGTTAGACATAATAGTAAAGGCAAAAAGCTTGTACTGAAATTGATTATACCCATAGTTGCATCAAGCATTTTCATTGGTTGCATAATTTTTCTTATACACAGAAGAGCGTACAATGAAGGATCAACAAATATGGATTTACCGATATTTCAATTTCAAAATCGAATTTCGTACTATGAACTTGTGGAGGCAACACAAAAATTTCATGAGAGCAATCTTCTTGGAAGAGGGAGTTTTGGTTCTGTGTACAAAGGTGAACTTTCTAATGGAGGGGTGATTGCAATTAAAGTATTCAATTTGGATGTGCAAGAAGCATCAAGGAGTTTTTATGTAGAATGTGAAGCAATGCGCAATCTTCGTCATCGTAATCTAGTCAAAGTCATTACTAGTTGTTCTAATACTGTTGATTTCAAAGCCCTGGTAATGGAATTTGTGCCAAATGGGAACCTAGAGAAATGGTTATATTCTCATAGCAACTCCCTAGGTTTCATAGAGAGGTTGGATATAGCAATTGATGTTGCATCTGCCTTAGAGTATCTCCATCATGGTAACTCAAAACCTGTGGTACATTGCGACTTAAAGCCAAGCAATGTCTTGCTGGATGAAAATATGGTCGCTCATGTTTGTGACTTTGGCATTGCTAAACTCTTGGAAGAAGGACAATCTCAATTACACACCAACACTTTAGCAACACTTGGTTATATTGCACCAGGTGAGTGATTGCACATTTTTATTCTTTATTATATCTTTAAAGGTTAACAATGGTCTCGTGCCAAAATTCCTATTGCACACTTTTACACATCTATTATTACGTATAAATAATTTTGATTTTTTTATACTCAAATTCTTATTTTCATCATATCATTCGTTGCAATTTATTATTATACTCTTCTTTTATTACTTCTTTCATCATATTATTATACTCTTCTTTTATTACACTCTTGGAAATGCGCAAACATCATTTTTTAACTCTGAAAGGTTATTCATTTGCGTAACAAACTATTACATTAGCTTTTACACAATCCCTTTCACATGAAAAGATAGACAATGTGTGCTAGAATGTATTCAGTTTTTTTTTATCTTATTATTGAAAATGCAATTAAATTATAATAGTGTAATGAAAATGGCATGTAAATATCATTATTGAAAATTAAAACTGTATTAGAAAGTGAGATAAAATTTAAAGTGATCATATTAGCAGACTCAAAAGAGTTACACCATTTTACTTTATGAGAAAAAAAAATGTAAGGAGAGTACATTAATTAAAAAGTAGATTGGTTATTATTTTATTATATATAAAACAAATGATCAGAGAAGGTTTGAAGTTTGTGTGTGATTTTTGTAAGAGACATGTTATCAAGTTATACTATCCTCACATTTTGCATCCCAAACGCTCACACGTGTGTGCATATGAATAAACATTGATAATTGGAAATGCAGAATATGGAACTGAAGGTGTTGTGTCTGTTAAAGGAGATGTATATAGTTATGGCATTATGTTGACGGAAGTATTTACAAGAAAGAAGCCAACTGATGAAATGTTTGAAGAGGGACTAAGCTTAAGGTCATGGATTCAAGAATCAATGCCACATGGGATCACTCAGGTAGCAGACCCTAATTTGTTAGAAGGAGATGAACAATTTAACTATGCCAAAGAAACAACTTTAGTAAACATCATGCAGTTGGCTTTGAGTTGCTCTGTAGACTCCCCTGAAGATAGAATGAGTATGTTGGAAGTCTTAGGTCGCTTAAACAAAATCAAAACAATATTGCTGCAAATGATAAATTCCAATTAAGTAAAACCAATACTTTGTTTATGTTTCCTTAGCAATTATGGATGAAAATTTGGCACATGTTAACACTTATGTTATTTTCCTCCTATTAAACTTGGATGAACTTTTCAGTTTATTATGTCAAAGTATATATGCGACAACTTTTTATATCGATTAAATATCAAGCCAATGTAAATAAAAGAATAGTGGCAAAATTTACAATTTTAATGTGCATTTTACTAGACTGGTTGATAATAGAATCAATATAAAATTATTTTTTATATTAATTAAGTTTTATAACGAATGTACAAAGGAAAATTTAAAATGGTTAATTGTATAGCCGAAGTAGAATATGTTATTTTTCAGATCGATTATTCATATAACCGGTTTAAAAAGTCTTCTTTTATTTAGATACCTTGTTACACTATTGTTGTTACCTTTAGAGCTTTAAGTACATTCCCTTATTAGCTTTGTTTTCATCTTAAAATAATTCCAATGCTTTCATCTTTGGTTTCAACATTGCAAATGCATTTTGATCCCAAGAGCTGAGTCGTTTCCTTTCCTTTGTTCATTTGATAATATATTATGTGCCCTTGCACGTATAAGGAGTTGCACCTTTGCACATTGCCCTTTTGCAAGCCTTCAGCAATAATAGTAAGAGCAATAATCTGAGGCTATGCTAGATTCTGTGATTTGTATTTATGCCCTCCAATTCTGGGCAAAATCTTGTCCTAATAAACATTGTAGATATATCTTTCTTGTCTGTTGTTATATTCTTAGTTGTTACTCTTATTTATTTACAACTAAGCTACATATGCGGTGAGATAGGATTATTTTGTGGGTGGTTCATATAGCCCTACACTAAACTTTATGTGAACGCGACTACGTGCCCAATTAGATACGATCATTTTCTCAAAACTTTGATAAGTGAAAGATATGACATGCCTACTACGGATTCTAGACTGTGGATAGTTTCTCTTATGACTAATTTTTTCTTCTCCCAAAAGATATTACCTCCAAATATTAAGCCAAATATAAAGAATGGAGCTTGCAATCCGCTTGCTCCTCCGTTTAGCATTGCTGCTCAAAAAATAATTTGCTTTAACATGCATACAAAGGCGTTGGACGATCGCAATGATACACTGAAAACGTGTTTAAGAAAAATATTTTTTATAAATAAAAATATTTTCTAAAAAAATTAGAAGAGTTGCTATTAAAATTTATTGAAGAAAATCTTAAAAAAATATTTTAAAATAATATGATATTTTGAAACTAAAAATCAGTTTAGGAGTTGTTTATCTATTAGCATTCTACGACGTCTGTTTAAATAATAATTACTTTAAATTAATTGTGTAAATTGATTTTAATTTTGAAAAATATTTATTTAACTCTAAAACAATAAGTGTTGTTATTTTATTTTATTTTTAAAAAATTTATTTATTAAAATATTGACGGGTATCTTAGGAAAGAGAAAATTTATTTTAAAAATTGTTTTGATTCGGCAAGTTCTATTCCTGTTCCTATGTATCCCCAGGTGCAATAGAGAACTCAAAGTCATGTAGTTCTATTATAAAAATCATGAAGTTGGTTGATTAAAATTAAATTTAGTAAAAGAAAGTTTATTTTGAGATTAAAGTTACTTTGATAGGACTATTATGCTTAGGATATAAGATAACGCGGATATACATGCATCTTATGATGAACAATATAGAAAGCGAAGGGTGATCACACAACTATATTATAAATTATTAGAAAAATATTTTTATTTATAAATGAAATATTTTAATTATAATTCATGTTGAAAAAGAATTTAGGATAGTGTAAGCTATACATAAATATCTTATAATTTATTAGACAACCGAAGTTAATGTAAAATACATATCCATGTTGTAAAAAAATATATAATAAAATAAAGAAAAATAATTAATTATTTAGTTATTTAATTAATTAAAGTTAGAAATATGGCTTAAGAAATTTTAAAATATGAAATTAATTTCATTTAATGAAAGGAATAAATATATTTGAATTGATTGAAGAAAATATTTGTTTAATAAAAAGATTAAAACTTCATTTGATAAATTTATATTGCATAGGATTCAAGATAATGTTGGTACAAAAAAGTCTTAACAATTTAAAGCGTATAAAGTAGAAACACTACATAATAACATTATAAATTGTTATATTAATATAATAAAAATAATATTATTTAATTAAATCAATGAATTTTTTTAATGATAGAAAATAGAGAAATATTTTTAATTAGATAATATATTTTAATTAAATAAAAAAATCATGTAATTGATTAATTTTATAAGTTAGATTTAAGTTTTGTATAAATTGATTGTATGTAAAAACTAAGGTAATTTTGGTATACATAAATTTTGATAATTTATAACGTATAAAGGTAGAATCGCTACATATTAGCATTATAAATTATTCTGTTAATAAAAAAACTTAGATTTAAATTAGTTGATTGATTAGTAAGTTAGTAATTAGAGAAGGAACACATTATGAGTAATTATTAAGATAATTATCAAATTAATTAAATACAAGATATGATAAATTAATATTGTATAAAGCTAATGTAACATAAGTATACTTAGACTTTATCAATTTATAATACATGACAGCAGAGAAGTAATGCATTAGTATTATAAATTAATACAACTATATTATTATTTATTTATTTTATAAAAATTAATAATTTACTATTCATGAAATAAAAGAAAGTAAATCATAAATATAAAATTGAATCATATTAACATTCTACAATTATACAATAAATAAAATAAAGATAATAATTCTAAAAAAACAAATAACTAATATTTAAATAAGACATAAATAATGAAATAACATGAAAAATTATGGAGAGAATTTATTGTTAATGTTAGAATAAAAAATTTTACAAATAAAAATTGTTAATATTTGGTATAATTTAGACCACTTGCTACCAAAAAGAAAAATGGAAATAAAATTTTTAGATTAAAAAGAATTAAATTTTTTATTTTAAAAAAGAGTAGAAAGGTCCAAAATAAAAAATTAAAAAAAACTCTAGATTTGAGTAGTTGAGTTTTTTAGGGCAACAAATGAGTTTTTTTTTTCTTTAAAAAAAAGATCATAAAAGGGATGAAGATAAGTTTGATGGAGGCCATGGTTGGGTGATGGGTGAAGGAGGAAAAACTTTCATGGTTGAAGGTGATGAGTTGAGGGAGAAAAGTTTTTGAGATTCAGGATGTGGGTTGAGGGAGAGGTAGAAAAAATGTGAAGAAGAAATGAATTGTTCTTGGTTGGAGATGAGTTAAAGGGATGAACTTATATGGGTGAGAATAGTGGATTGATAGAGATGAAAGGAAGTGGTGGAGAAAAAAGATCTTAATAGTGAATTTAAAAGGTTGAGGATGATTAAAAGAGGATTTTAAAAGCTTTATTGAATGAAACTTATATTAATATACATAATAATTTCATAGAATGTATGCGACTTACTTGAAATTTTTGAACCTCTTTTCTCTTCCCCTCCTTATTTTCTCTCTAAGTTTAGGAATGTCTCCTCTAAAAAATTTTAGCCTCTCCTTTTCGTCTCCTCTTCCTCGGTAGTTTTTGTAAGGAAAATGGATGCAAAGGTCTAGGAGGTTGACTCGCGTGTGGGACTGGAGGGAATAATCACTGATAGAAACATGGTGAGAGGCACGGAAAGCATGATAAGAGGCAAAGGCGCACGATCCAAGTGTGTAAGCACAAGGCTGAAGGACTTTGAGTGGGGTATTTTGATAATTGTATAAAATAAGTGATTTGAGATCATGATTTGAACACTTTTCATGTTAAAAGTTGGATTATTTTGTTAAATTCCCCTTAAACTTGGAACTTTTACAATTACTTGTATATTTTAGGAAAAGAATGCAATTGTTAGTGTTTTGATTCCCTTTTGATCTATATTGTAGTAAGAATCAAATGAGAGACATCATTTAAAGTTGAAGAAGATTTGAAAAGTCAGAAAAAAAGCATATAAAGCATGAAGTTGTAGAAAAGTTAACTTCTGAAGGTTTCTCCGTACAGCGAGAATGCTTAATTGTGAAGAGGGTGATTCTGTGCTGCTCTAACTAAAGCGAGAATGGGTCGCTCAGAATCAAATGAGAGACATCATTTAAAGTTAAAGAAGATTGCAAAAGTAAAAAAAAAAGAGCATATAAAGCATGAAGTTGTAGAAAAGTTAACTTCTGAAGGTTTCTCGCTGCAGTGAGAATGCTTAATTGTGAAGAGAGTGATTCTGTGCTCCTCTCGCTACAGCGAGAATATGTTGCTGTAGCGAGAGTCTCTTGTGTCGTTGTAGAGAGAAATATTGCTGTAGTGAGAGACATACAGAATGATCTAATTTCTATCTCTATGTCTCGCTACAATGAGGAGGTGTCGCTGCAGTAAGAGAAGTTTGTACAAACCAGTATAAAAGATGACTTTTATGTTTTTGAAGGGAGGTTACTGTTTCATATACATTTCTAGAGAGGGAGAGCGGCGCAAAACATAGGAAAAGAGTAGGAATACTTGGATTTTGATGTTTTACTCCGTTTGTATCTCAATTCTTGTTACTATAGTTGCCATGAGCAGCTAGAATTTGTGTGAGATTGAATGTAAATCTTCAAACTTGATGTATTCTCAATAGTTTATATAAATATAGTTGTTTCTTCTTCACTTATATTGATTTAATGATTTCAATCTGTGTTAATGGTTGAATCTATCTATTTGATGGTTTTTGGAGCTCACACTACTAGAAAAGCGCTTAATATTAAAATCCGTCTGTATTACAGACGGCTTTACAGACGGATTTGTGAAATAAATTTTTTTTTTTTTTGAAAAATCCGTCTGTATTTAGCCCGCCTTTTGGCGCCAAACGTTATAGACAGCAATTACAGACGGATTTTTCCGTCTGTAGTTTGAAAATAGGACGAAATATTATAGCGGGAAATTACAGACGAATTTTCCCGTCTGTAAATATGGCAGTTTTAGCCGACCTTTCAGGTGGCACATTACAG